AAAGTAGATTGTTTGCTCACAGGGCTACACAGGGAGCATTGTTCCTGACCCGTTGCTTCCTGGCTCCCGGCTCTTTCTCAACACCTCAACTCCACAGAACCGGATTATTCTGATCCAAAAAATGACCAGTACTCCGGATCATTTATTTTCAATCGGCGGCCTTCGTCACCGGAGAGCCTTCATTTTGAAGCCACCATCCCTTCCTTTGAAAAACCACGTAAGCCGGCGCAACGTAACACCATGTTGCTTTATTCTCTCCCCCACCCCCGACCCAAGATGAAAGCTTCACAGAAAATAACAGCCGCCTTTGATATATATATTTTTTTTAAAAACCCACCAACCCACCATTCCACTGAGGTCTTTTATTTTGAAAATGTTCATCTGACAAGCCCAGCCGCTGGAATGCTTTTATTTTAAGTGGCTGCTTCTTGTTCCTCCAGGGGGAAAAAATCCCAGGTTTGTAAAACAAGGTGAGAGAATCCAGGACATACCCCAAGGCCCAACATAGATGAATTTTCCAGTGAAGAGCAGAGTACCTTTTGCGCATGTGTGCAGAGGCCTCGTAACCACGTTTCTGGGTTTCTTGGGAAATGTTCCCAGGGACTTGCGCCCTAGCACACCTTATTTTTGTTTTTTTTTAAAAGAAACCAAGCTTTGCACAAAGCTCTTACTTGGACGGCTAGACTCAATCTCATCTGATCTTGGAAGCGAAGCCTAGCCGGGCCCTGGGTAGCATTTGGATGGGAGTCCACCCAGGAAAGATGTTGAACTGCAGGCTGTGGGAGGTCAGTAGTTCAGCAGTTCGAGACCCGAATGTGCGGCATGACGGAGTGAGCTCCCGTCTCTAGTTCCAGCTCCTGCCAACCTAGCAGTTCGAAAGCAAGAAATTGCAAGTAGATAAATAGGTACCACTTCAGTGGGAAGGTCACAGCGTTCCGTGCGCCTTGGTGTCTAGTCATGCTGGCCACATGACCACGGAAACGTCTTCGGACAGTGCTGGCTCTTCGTCTTGGAAACTGAGATGAGCACCGCAACCCTAGAGTCGGACTCGACTGGCTTTCGAGCAAGGGAACCTTTACCTTTACCTTTAACCACCCAGGAAGCCCAGGGCTGCTACGCAGAGGCAGGAAATGGCAAACCCACCTCTGTTTGTCTCTGCCCTGCCCTGGATAGCTCATATTAGCCCAATCTTGTCAGTCCTCAGAAGCTAAGCAGGTTCAGCCCCGGTTAGTATTTGGATGGGAGACCACCGAGGAAGTCAAGAGCTGCGACACAGAGGTCAGGCCATGGCGAACTACCACCGAAGGTCTTTTACCTTGAAAATCCTACCAGATTACCATCAAGTTAGCTGCAACTTGACGGCACTTTGCACCACCACCATGTCCGTAAACACTCTACCGCACCGCAGCTTCTGTTGAGGCACAGACTCGACCGAGACTTCTGGCAGCCTGTATGCCACGTACCCGTAACCCTGTACCCCAAGAC